AGCCGCTGGCCTCTGAAGCCACACCGCTCCTCGACCTTCATGCTAAACTCGGCGGCGGGCGCGGGGGGGAAATGAGAAGGGGCGGGGCTTCCGAGGCTTCTGAGAAGTTTCTGGACTTCTGAGAGGGCTTCTGAGAAGTTCTGTCCGTATTCGAAATAGGCCAGGGAAACGTCTCAGAAGCCCCCCGGACTTCTAAGAAGTCCCGCGGCCTTCTGAGAAGGCCTTCTCCTTCTCATTTCCCCCCTGGGCTCGTCGCCTAACACCGCTCCTCGACCTTCATGTTAAACACGTTCTTCCCTCACGGGCATTGTTCAGAAGGAAAGAAACGCACAGACACAATTAATCCTTGACTCCCCAGAAAATATGGGAACATATGGGAAGTGGGGGGGAAGACAGAAACCCAGAAAATATGGGAAAATATGGGGAATCTTTTTATTTGTGTGTCCTGGGGCCCCTTCAATTGTAACAGCACCGCTGGGGCTCTCCGGACAGAGCCCGGCCCTCGGTGCGCGGCCGCCCTCGGCCCTCGGCCGGCCTGGCCGGCGGGAGCGGCCCGGCGGCGGCGGGTCCGACGACGACGACGCCGACGATGACGACGTCGACGACGACGACGTCGACGACGCCGACGATGTCGACGTCGACGACGCCGACGATGTCGACGTCGACGACGTCGACGACGACGACGACGACGACGACGACGACGACGACGTCGACGACGTCGACGACGACGACGTCGACGACGACGACGACGACGACGTCGATGACGACGACGATGACGACGACGGCGCGGCGACGACGCGACGACGCCGACGCAGATGACGTCGACGACGACGACGTCGACGACGTCGACGACGTCGACGACGACGACGACGTCGACGACGTCGACGACGACGACGTCGACGACGTCGACGACGTCGACGACGTCGACGACGACGTCGACGACGTCGACGACGACGACGTCGATGACGACGACGACGTCGACGACGTCGACGTCGACGACGTCGACGACGACGACGTCGACGACGTCGAGGTCGATGACGACGACGGCGGCGGCGGCGGCGGCGACGACGACGACGCGAGGCTTCAGCATTTGGGGGTCCAGGGTTTCCGCAGTCTTGGGGCTCGGCTTGGAGCGGCCACAGGTCCGAGGATCAGCTGGATGGCCAGGGCGCAGTTCGCCGGCGGAGAGGCGGCTGAAGCAGATGCGAGGCTTCAGCATTCGGGGGATCCAGGGTCTCCGAAGCCTTTGGGGCTCGTCTCGGAGCGGCCACAGGCCAGAGGATCGGCTGGGTGGCCAGGCAATGGCACAGTCGGGCCGGACGAAAGGGGGGCATTGGGAAAGGGGGGGGTATGAAATTTGCTGCATGCAGCTGGTTTCGGCCTCGCCGAGGGGCCCATTCCTCGATGCATAGCCGCCTCCGGCGCCGGGAGGCGCCGGGAAAATCGGCTACGTGAGCTGATTCTCAAGGCCCCCCCTTTGCTATCCCCCCCTTTCGCCCGACCCGACACGGGCAGCGCGAGGCGAAGTCGAAGCGGCTGGTGGCACCGCGCAGGCGCGCGAGGCGCTCCATAGCCCTGACGGTCGCGCGGGGCGTGGGGCAGCCTCGCGGCTCCTCCGACCAGGCTGTAGGAGCTCCAGCCGCGCCAGCAGGGTGGACGTCGGCGATGTGGGTGCCGTGCTTTCGATCTGGGTCGAGGAGGCGCCTTCGTTCCGTGTGCGGCGCGCCTCGTGGTAGCACGTTGCTTGCAGGGCGCTCCAGAGAAAGCCTCGCCTTCGGCCACTTCGGCGCCCGGCCGCCCTCGGCCCTCCTCGGCGAGAGGCTGGCGAGCGAACGGAGGCGGCCAGCCTGCCAGCGGAGGGTGGCGGAAGCAGAAGCGAGACGTCAGCGCTCGTCGTCGAGCCTCCCGGCGACCCGGCGACCCGGCGACCCAGCGTCCCGGCGACCCGGCATCCCGGCGACCCGGCGACCCGGCGACCCGGCGATCCGGCGATCCGGCAATCCGGTGATCCGGCGACCCAGCGACCCGGCGACCCGGCGACCCGGCGACCCCCTGATTCTAGATCCGCCCTACTTCGGCTTTTTTCCCAATTTAAAATTGCGTCGGATATCCACCTATAAGAGGCCGAAAAAGTAGGGCGGAAATTGCTGCACCCAACATAAGATGGGGCGGAAACCCACAGAAACAGCAGCAGAAAAGTAGGGCGGAAATTGGCATCAGCGGGGCTTGAAAAGTAAGGCGGAAATTCCAAGCCCCACTTACGAATTTCCCCAAAGTAGGGCGGATCCGGAGTCAGCGTTGAGCTTCCTGAGATGCTCCAGGGCTTCCTGTGGGCCCCCTCCTCCTCCTCCTCCTCCTCCTCCTCCCCCTCCTCCTCCTCCTCCCCCTCCTCCTCCTCCTCCTCCTCCTCCTCCTCCTCCTCCTCCTCCTCCTCCTCCTCCTCCCCTTCCTCCTTCCTCCTCCTCCTCCTCCTCCTCGTCGTCGAGCGTTGAGCTTCCTGAGATGCTCCAGGGCCTCCTGTGGGCCCCCCTTAGGCCAGCGGGGGAGGAGACGCGTCCCTGGTGCACCCGCCGGCAGGCCGGTGTGTTCCTCTCCGGCGTGCCTGCTGTGTGCCTGCCCGACGGATTGCAGGATTGCAAAAAAACCCTGGATTGCAAAAAAACCCAGGGTTTTTTTGCAATCCTTTTTTGCAATCCTTCGTGGTTTTTTTGCAGTCCGGTTTTTTTTTGCAATCCTTCGGGTTTTTTCGCAATCCTTCGGGTCTCCGGAGAGGGCCGCGCCTGAAGGCGCGGCCCTCTACGGATATCGATGCCCCACTTCAGCTGAAGCGGGGCATCCCCAGACCCCCTCGAGTTATGAGAAAATCACGACGGGAGGTTTGTCATTATTTTCGGCCTTTGGGGGCCCTTACCGGCCCTCGGGACCGTCAAAAAACGACTCAGGACGAAAAATTGGTCCCGGGGAATGGGTCGAGACCTCGGGGGGTCGACGTCATGAAAAAATCATGACGTCGGGGGTCTGGGCTGAAGGCGCGGCCCTCTACGGATATCGATGCCCCACTTCAGCTGAAGCGGGGCATCGATAGCCGCCACCAGCCAGGAAGCGCGGGCCCCGAAGGAAACGGGTCGCGTTGCTGAGCTGGTTCTGTCCGCGCTCGGGGCTCTTCCTGGGGCCCTCCACGGGCCCCGCCCCCCCCCTGGGATTGTCAGGGAGCACCTCCGGGTGAGCAGCGGGTCCTATGGGGGAGGGCCCCCGGGGGCTCCGGGACCCGCTGCCCTCCCCCTGTGCGTCGGCAGTGCGCCCCGAGCGAGGCGGAAAGGCGGGGCCGAAGTGTCTGCCTCGGGAGAGTAATTATCGGGCCGGGCGAAAGGGGGCCGGTACGAAAGTTGCTGCATGCAGCTGGTTTCGGCCTCGCCGAGGGGCCCCTTCCTCGATACATTGGCGCCTCCCGGCGCCGGGAGGCGCCGGGAAAATCAGCTGCGCGAGCTGATTCTCAAACCCCCCCTTTGCTATCCCCCCCTTTTGCCCGACCCGAGAGGGCCGCGCCTGAAGGCGCGGCCCTCTACGGATATCGATGCCCCACTTCAGCTGAAGCGGGGCATCCCCAGACCCCTCCAGTTATGAAAAAATCACGACGGGAGGTTTTTCATTATTTTCGGCTTTTGGGTGCCCTCACAGCTACGCGAGCTGATTCTCAGGCCCCCCCTTTGCTATCCCCCCCTTTTGCCCGACCCGAAAGTAGGGCGCATCTCTGCGCAGAGGTGTGGCGGACACAGCGAGGGCAGAGCGGGGGCGGAGATCGGCATCAGAGGAGCTCGGAGAGCACGGCGGGGCAGCGTCGCCCTGCTTGCGAAGTCGCCCCAGGCACGGCAGGTCCGGAGTCAGGAGGAGGAGGAGGAGGAGGAGGAGGAGGAGGAGGAGGAGGAGGAAGAAGAGGAGGAGGAGGGGGAGGAGGAGGAGGAGGAGGAGGAGGAGGAGGAGGAGGAGGGAGGGAGAAGGGGGAGGCTCAGCTCGCGCCCCCGCGGGCTCCCCAAGGCCTCCCGTCGAGGCTTCGGCGGCCTTTGCGGGCCCTCGGCGGCCTTCGGGCCCTCGGCGGGCTTCGCGTGCCCCTCGGCGGCCTTCGGCAGCCCTCCTCCCTGCCCTCGGCCTCGACGTCCACGTTGGCGCCTGCATCTCGAAGGTTCCTGGGGTGCTCCTCTGGAGGGTTTGGTCGCCACGCCGGGGCGCAGCTCGACGAAGGCGTGGTCAGGACGAAGCCCCTTCGGAAGGGCCCGGGCAGAGCCTGGGCGGATATCCGTGAGGTATTCGACCTTGCTCTTCTTCGTCCTGCTCCACTTTCTCTTCTTCTTACTGTTATAGTATTATTATTGTCCTTCTTCTTCTTCTTCGTCTTCTTCCTCCTCCTCCTCCTCCTCCTTCTCCTCCTCCTCCTCCTCCTCCCCTGGAGCAGAACGGCATGCGACATGCACCTAATTTCTCGGAGCTCCGCGCGGATTTCTTGGACTAGCGTATGGAGCCTCCTGGCGGCGCCTCCCGCGCCGCCCCTGGCGCGCTCCGCGCGACAGAGACAGGGGTCTGCAAAAAAACAAAGGATTGCAAAAAAACCGAAGGATTGCAAAAAAACCCAGGATTGCAAAAAGGAGGATTGCAAAAAAACGAAGGATTGCAAAAAAACCTTCGTTTTTTTTTGCAATCCTTCGTTTTTTTGCAATCCTTCGAGCCGATCCAAGACATCGGCACGGACCTCCGAGAAAGTAGATTCAGGCCTTCGTTTGTTCCTCTGTCCTACTCCGTCGTTTCGCCTCGCCCTTGTCGGAGTACACGACTTCATCTTCGTCGTCGTTGTCTTCTTCCTCGTCCTCCTTCTTCTCCTCCTCCTCCTTTGTACGTTGCGCGGATTTCACTTAAGGTGCACAGCCTGTAGCGTTCCATCCTCCTCCTCCTCCTCCTCATTTGGTACGGTCGCTCATCCTCCTCCTCATCCTTTTTTGTTTCCTCTGAAGCAGTTTCGGCTCAAGGCAAGAGGCCTTGTTTTTTTTGTTTTTGCTGCAGCACTGTAGCCCGTTCAACCCAAGCAATGGTTTTCGAGCAGATTGCCAGCGCCGTCGAAGTCGGTGCAACGACCAGGTGCGATCGCATTCGCAGCCCAGTGGGCGTATCGTGCTGCTGCGAAGAATCAGAGTTGACGACGGTGACGCTCGAGAAGAAGGACCGAAACGAAATGTTCGGCGTCCGCCTGGTCGACGCAGCTGAAGAGGACGAGGTTGGCCTGCTGATTATGTTCATTCCCGACGGAGGTTTGCTGAGCAAGTGGAACGAGCGCAACGCATCACAGGCTCTGGGGAGCGCAGAGCTTTTCACCGGCACTGCCCCCGTGGAAGGACGATGGAAGCGAGGGGACAGGGATAGGGGTAAGGGCTCACTCCCCCTCTCTTTTATCCCTCTACTTTCTCCTCGTCCTCGTCCTCCTTCCCTTCCTTTTCGGTATACTCCTCCTGTCTCTCATACCTCCCTCCTCCCTCTCGTGCTCCTCCTGCTCCAGCTTATCTTGCTGATTTTGGCTCTCTCTTCTCCTCCTCCTCCTCCTCCTCCTCCTCCTCCTCCTCCTCCTCCTCCTCCTCCTCCTCCTCCTCCGCCTCTTCTGTCCCCTTCGTCTCCCTCCGCCACCCTCCTCTTCTTCCTCCTCCTCCTCCTCCTCCTCACCCCTCCTCCTCAGATTCCCCCTCCGCCGAATCTCCCTCTCCCGGCCCCTCCCCCTGCTCCTCTGACCTCCTCCGACGCCGCCCTCCCCCTGCCCGCTCCTCCTCGAGGGGGGTCGGAGGGCACCAACTATACACCTACACCGATCCAGCCCAGGCCGTTCCTAGGCCCAGGGTCGGTGTATATGCATTCTGCCCATGACAGGAGGGCATATACACCGATCCTGGGCCCAGGTTGATCCTGGCCAGGATCGGTGTTGGTGTATAGTTGGTGCCTCCCTAGGGGGGGGGATTGGCGCTGGAGGACGCTGGGCAGGCTCCACCGCCTGCGGCCGCCCCTCCACAGGCGGTGGCCCCGGGCGACTGCGTCGTCGGGGTGAACGGCGCCACGGCGCCGTGGGCGATCATGGAGGAGATGGCCAAAGAGCGGCGGGCGAAGCGAGGAGGAGGAGCAGGAGGAGGAGGAGGAGGAGGAGCAGGAGCAGGAGGAGGAGGAGCAGGAGCAGGAAGAGGAGGAGGAGGAGGAGGAGGAGGAGGAGGAGAAGGAGGAGATGGCCAAAGAGCGGCGGGCGAGAGTTCGGCGGACGACGGCCCGAACCCCGCCCTCGCCGATCCACGGCTCCGGCAGCTCGACGGGCGGCGGCTCGAGCCTCGAGCCTCGAGCCTCGAGGGTCGAGGTGCGAGGAGGAGGAGGAGGAGGAGGAGGAGGAGGAGGAGGAGGAGGAGGGGGAGCAGGAGCAGGAGCAGGAGCAGAGCAGAGGAGGAGGAGGAGGAGGAGGAGGAGGAGGAGAGGAGGGGGAGGAGGAGGAGGAGGAGGAGGAGGAGGAGGAGGAGGAGGAGGAGGAGGAGGAGGAGGAGGAGGAGGAGGAGGAGGAGGAGGAGGAAGGGGAGGGTCGAGGTGCGGGGCTTTTGGGCCTTCGGGGGCCCTCCTCGTCGCCAGCAGGGGGGGCCGTTTTGGGCCTTCGGGGGCCCTTGGCGGGGATCCGAGAACGCGCTTTGAGCTGGAATTCGAAGCGACCCTCGTCATCCGAAAGGGCTTCCAAGCAGTCCAAGAGAGCCCCAAAACGGCACAACACGGGTCCAAGATGGCACTCAGAGAGCCCCATGGCGGCCCAAGATGGCCCAAAGACACCCTCCGAAGAATTCCAGATCGTGAGTCGATCCACGATTCAGGCAATTCGATGGGCGGCGGGGGGGAGGGTGCGGCATGCTCTGAGCACGCGGCGAAGTCCGAACCCTACCTCCCGCCTCGCATCGATGTAAGAGAACATCGACGGTCGGGCTGGGTGGGGTTAGGGTTCGGGTGTCGCCACCAATGCAAGAGTGATGCGCCCAGACCTCCAAAGCGTCGAAGAACAACAGCGACTGAGTTTTGCCGTCGTTTTCGGCGTCTGGGGGCCCTCGCCACGCTTCGGGACGGTCAGGAACCGGTCCGGGACAAAGAACCGTTCCCCGTTCCACAGGAAGCGGTCCAGAAGTGTAGGGACCCCGCATAGGAAAATTAGCCTGGCGAAGGACCCAACCATATGCAGTTGTGAGTAATGCTGGTGTGAGTACTGTCTTCGGTGGATCTCCCTATGGGGCCACGAACCGTTTGAGGGGTGTGCCGAAATGGGTGTGGGGGCGGCATGCGAACGTTGCCACTGGGGCCTTCGGTGGAGCTCCTTATGGGGCCACGAAACGTGTGAGGGGTGCACCGAAGTTGGTGTGGGGGCGGCATGCGAACGCAGCCACTGGGGCCTTCGGTGGAGCTCCCTGTGGGGCCACGAAACGTGTGAGGGGTGTGCCGAAATTGGTGTGGGGGCGGCATGCGAACGCAGCCACTGGGGCCTTCGGTGGAGCTCCCTATGGTGCCACGAAACGTGTGAGGGGTGTGCCGAAATGGGTGTGGGGGCGCATGCGAACCCAGTCACTGGGGCCTTCAGTGAAAATCCCCATGGGGCCACGAAACATGTGAGGGATGTGTCGAAATGGGTGTTGGGGAGGCATACGAACCAGGCCACTGGGGCCTTCGGTGGAGCTCCCTATGGGGCCACGAAACGTGTGAGGGGTGTGCCGAAATGGGTGGTGGGGAGGCATGCGGACCCTGCCACTGGGGCCTTCGGTGGAGCTCCCTATGGGGCCACGAAACGTGTGAGGGGTGTGCCGAAATGGGTGGTGGGGAGGCATGCGAACCTGCCACTGGGGCCTTCGGTGGAGCTCCCTATGGGGCCACGAAACGTGTGAGGGGTGTGCCGACATGGGTGGTGGGGAGGCATGCGAACCCAGCCACTGGGGCCTTCGGTGGAGCTCCCTATGGGGCCACGAAACGTGTGAGGGGTGTGCCGAAATGAGTGGTGGGGAGGCATGCGAAACCTGCCACTGGGGCCTTCGGTGGAGCTCCCTATGGGGCCACGAAACGTGTGAGGGGTGTTGACCGAAATGGATGGTGGGGAGGCATGCGACCCTTGCCACTGGGGCCTTCGGTGGAGCTCCCTATGGGGCCACGAAACGTGTGAGGGGTGTGCCGAAATGGGTGGTGGGGAGGCATGCGAACACTGCCACTGGGGCCTTCGGCGGAGCTCCCTATGGGGCCACGAAACGTGCGAGGGGTGTGCCGAAATGGGTGGTGGGGAGGCATGCGACCCTGCCATGGGGCCTTCGGTGGAGCTCCCTTATGGGGCCCGAAGCGGTGAGGGGTTGTGCGAAATGGGGGTTGGGGAGGCATGCGAACACTGCCACGGGGGCCTCCGGTGGAGCCCCTTTATGGGCCACGAAAACGTGGGAGGGGTTGTGCCGAAATGGGTGGTGGGAGCCATGCGAAACCTGCCACGGGGGCTTCGGTGGAGCTCCCTATGGGCACGAACGTGTGGGGGTGTTCCGAAAATGGTGGTGGGGAGCATGCGGAACCCTGCCACTGGGGCCTTCGGTGGAGCTCACTATGGGGCCACGAACGTGTGGGGGTGTGGCCGAAAGGGTGGTGATGAGGATGAGATGATGATATGATGACTGATGATGATGAGAGGATGAGGATGAGGATGAGGATGAGGATGAGATGAGCATGAGGACCGAGGAGCGATGAGGATGAAGGATGAGGGATGAGGATGAGGAGAGGATGAGGATGAGGATGATGATGATGAGATGAGATGATGATGATGATGATGATGATGATGATGATGATGATGATGATGATGATGATGATGATGATGATGATGATGATGATGATGATGATGATGATGATGATGATGATGGGAGGAGGGAGGGGGGGGGAGGAGGAGGAGGTGAGGAACGCGGGGCGCCGTCTCTTCAAAACGAGGACCCAACACCACAGGATGGTTGGGAACAAACAAAAAAACATCCATTGGCGGTCTGACGTGTCAGATCTCTGGCAGGTCTCGATCTCAACCTCGTCGGGGTCTTTTTCAGGCCCCGTGTCCATCATGATCGGATCTGGGGCAAAAGACTGCCCGAGGCGAAGGCTGGGGCCCTGCAGATTTGCAAAGGCAATTCGTCGGAGGGCCGGGCAAGACGAATAGTTCCGCCGTGGGGGGCGCTGGCCGTGACCGAGACGATGGCCCGCGGATGCCTCCAGAGGTCACTGGAGACTCCTCGCGGCTGCATCCGCAACGCCATCCTGATGAAGAACAAGGTGGTGTCTGTGAGCGTCCCCCACGGTGTGACAGGCTTTTTTTGGTCTGCGGGTCGAGAGCGAGCCTCTTCCGGTTAAGAGCTAGGCGGGCCGCGCAAAGCACTAACTGGGGAGACAGGGCGCGGGCGGGCGGGGCCTCAGGCGGCCGGAGGGCGCGGGGTGCAGGCGGTGCTGAAGAGCTTGCACAGGAAAAGGTACACGGTGTGACGGGCACAGAAAAGGGCGGCGTCGTTTGTTCGCCCGCTTCTTTGCGAGTGCCCAACGTCTGGGGTTTGTTTGCACTGGCTGGAGGAGGAGGAGGAGGAGGAGGAGGAGGAGGAGGAGGAGGAGGAGGGAGGAGGAGGTAGGCAGCAGGTGAAGTATCTGCTGACCAGCGCTGCGCCTCGGCGAGGCCAAGAGGGAACGCCAGACGCCTCGACCCTCGACCCTCGAAGCCTTGCCGCCGGCGACGAGCCGCGTTGCCCTCCTCCTCCTCCTCCTCCTCTCCTCCTCCTCCTCCTCCTCCTCCTCCTCCTCCTCCTCCTCCTCCTCCTCCTCCTCCTCCTCCTCCTCCTCCTCCTCCTCCTCCGTGGCAGCGCGTGGTGGACGTAGGCTGTGAAGTGCCCATCTGGACCTCCGACGACTCGGCTTCTCGAATCGCCTGCCCCCCCCCCCAGGGTAAGACATGTCCAGAGCGTTCCGGAGCGCTCTGGGACGGCCGCGGCACCCGATACATCTTCCAGAACCGCCAGCCGCCAGATCTCAGAGATCCTCGACTTGTCCAGGTCCGATAGTGTCCCGCTCCTGGCATCGTCTTATCTCTACGGGTCGGGGGTGGACAGACCTCCTACCCTGACACGTCGATCAAGGAATTGGCCGTTTTCGGTTCGCGAGAGGGCGTCGCGGCCGTCATTTTTGCGGGTCCAGGTCCGTCGGTTTCGGTCCCAGGCCGTTTGCACTAAGGAGAGGTCTACTAAAGGGAGGTTTGTCCACAGCCGAATCTTCCAGAACCGCCAGCCGCCAGATCTCAGAGATCCTCGACTTGTCCAGGTCCGATTGTGTCCCGCTCCTGGCATCGTCTTATCTCCAAGGGGTCTTTCACCAGTGGCCTCCAGAAACCCGTCCGGGGTCCTGGGACCGTCAAGCATCGACCCCAGATGGAGATCTGGAGGGACCCAGGGACCAATGGTGAGCGGATTCGGGCCTGGCGGAGGAGGAGGAGGAGGAGGAGGAGGAGGAGGAGGAGGAGGAGGAGGAGGAGGAAGAGGAGCGCGTGAGGAGGCGGCGAGGAGGTGCATGGAGGTTCGACCCCTTCCCTGGGACCGTCTTTTCATCCTCCTGTCGTTTCGGAGCGGCCCCATGGCAGGGGCCCGCAAACAGCCCCCACGGTGCGCCGACAAATTGCCAGGAGCCTCCGCCGGCGCGATTCTCTTCGCGCGCTGGGAAACAGTGTTGTGCCCAGCCCTGCTGTGTTGGGCACTTGAAGAGCGCTGCTGTTCCTTCGCCCTTGAATTCCCGCCTCCTCCCTTCCTCTCACCTCCTCTTCGCTTCCTCTTTGCTCGTTCCTCGCTTCCCCTCCCTCGGAGACGTCACCGCTTTCGCGCCACGAGTGCTGCCAAACTCTCGAGAGCTCCTGGGAGGTCCAGCGGAGCGCAGTGCTCCAGAGATTCCCCAGCGAGACCTTGCCCTCCCCAGATGCTGCCACCAGCGCAAGGGTTGCCACCTTCGTGAGCTATTGGGAGAACCAGCTCATCCTGAACGATTTTATCCACGACGAGTTCGTCTGGAAGAACGCTCTTCCCGAAGAACGTTCTTCTGG